GCCCTGGGCTGGGTTTTATTAGGGAAAAGAATTAAAGGCTTGAAAGGCAGAGGAGGTTGTGACTGCTCAGAGTCGTGCTCCTCCTGGTGTGTGAGAGAAGCCACTGCAGGAACTCCACAGTCCCCGGGGTTTGCAGCGGGTGTTTGGGGGGCGCAGCGCGGAGTGTTCCGGAGCTCAGTCTCTGCTCTCAGGTGAGCTGTCACGGGCACACGGCCGTCTCTTGGCCCATGCTGTAGAAACTAGGGCTGCATTTTATCTGCCTCTTAATTTCCCCCTGTGTCTCTTCCTGAAAACCCCCGTTTGGCTCATGATCCCCAAGGGAAGGAGAGGCCCCACACACACGGCACTTGTTTTTCCAACTGCATCTCTTTAGAAACCACCTAGAAAACGTCCCTCGGGGTGCACCTTGTCCCAGTCCACCCTCTTCAGTCAGACGGAGCCCTGTGTTGATGTGGTCTGTTGACTTTGTGCAGAATGAAGAGCCAGTGTTCTCCAAGGATGGCCGGAAGTTCTTCTTTGTCAGAGCGATCCCGCAGGGGGGACGAGGAAAGTTCTACCACATCACTGTGTCCTCATCCCAGGTAAATCCTGCTGGTTTCTACAGCTGCAGGTGCTGCTGGTACTCGCTTCTCGTGGCCAAACTCACATGTCCTTCCCAAGGGCCCCGGGGACCCCAGGCTGCTGACACTCAGGCTGGGCTCCAAGGCGGGGGCAGAAGGCTGCACTTGTCCTGGGTAGAGGTTCTGAGCAGGGCAGGGTGGAGCTTTGCTTTTTGCATTGATGCTCCAGGGCACAAGTGTGAGCGTCTGACCCATCTGGCAATGGCAGAGGGGACCCTGTTCAAACACCTGACTCTGGGCTTCAGTGGTGGGGTAGGAGCACCCCTGAGCAGTGACCTCAGAGATTAATAGACATGAATTGTGACTCCAAAGTGTGCATCCTGGCAAATGCAGTCCCCTGCTCAGAGGTGACCCTAAGAGGCACTGCCTCACACGGAACCTTAGGAACTCTTCCCTGAAACTGGAGGTGCAGGAGCGGCATGTCCCTGATCGCAGACCCATCCTCTGTGTGTGGGTCCCATTTGGGGGGCCATCTAAAGTTATGTGGGGTCAGGGCAGGTAAATAGGAACTTAGGGAAAGCGTTAATAAGAAACATTCTGCAAATAGGAGCTTGTGAAATCAGTTTCAAAAGGAAACTCCAGGAAGGAGCACCACACCCAGGGGCCCTGGGGTGCTGGGGAGACACCTGCCCCTCCTTGGGTACCAATCACGTCTACTGCAGGGGTCAGGCGCGGCATCTGGGCTCAGACCGCTTAATCACGTGACTTGAAGAGTCTCCGTGAACCCTGTTCATCCACTCACTTCTGTGGTCTTGGTTCTGTAGCCCCCGATGCTTTGTTTTCTCGTGCGGGGACATGGCAAACAAGGTCAAGAATTTTAGATGTGTTCCTTCCACCCTGGCCTCTGTGTTTGCTGGGGACCCTGTGGACATTCAGCAGGAAGAAGGTCTCCCCTCGCCCAGGTGCCCAGGCCCTGCCTGCCCCTTTGCTTTGGAGCTCAGCAGCCCCGGACCTCCCAGGGCCTTCCATCCCCCACTCCCATGTCTGTGTCCTGGGGTTGGCCCCAGGCCTGTCACCTGAGTGATCTCCACTGTGGCATCCACCTGTCAGGGCATCCGCCTCTCATGGCACCAGCACCCCAAAACAGCTGCCCAGCTGCTCCTCACACCCAGGTCACCATGGAGACATCTCCTGCCACGCCCCCTGTGACCCACTGTTGCCATGATGGTGCCGGGCACTGAGACACTGGGGCGGGGAACCTGGGGTCATCAGCTACCCTGCTCCACCCTGTCCTCGGCAAGGGCACGAGAGTGACCAAGCCACGCTGCCCCTCCTTCCCTCCAGTTTTTCTTTTTTTGACTTTTTGAAATTTGTTCTAATTAGTTAACATGACAGCAGAACGCATTGTGATTCCTTGTACACAAATGGAGCACAGCTTTTCATTCTCTGGCTGCACACCACGTAGCGTCGCACCACATGGGCAGTCAGTCACACGTGTACCTAGGTAACGATGTCCACCTCATCCCCCCGTCTTCCCGCCTCCACGCACGCTTCCCTTCCCTGCCTCCCCTTTGCCCAATCAATGTCTCCCCACAGCTCCCCATTATGGGTCAGCACCCATAATAGGGAGAACATTCGGTCTTTGACTTTTGGGATTGGCTAACTTCACTTAGCATGATATTGTCCAACTCCATCCATTTACCTGCAAACGCCATGATTTTATTCTCTTCTAATGCTGAGCAATATTCCACTGTGTATATACCACAGTTTCTTTATCCATTCATCTACTGAAGGGCATGTAGGTTGGTTCCACAGTTTAGCTATTGTGAATTG